TTCCCTACAATGTTTTATATCTTCTGCATTGTAACACCAATAAAACTATATTGCCTGACAAAGCATATCTTTCCTCCCTTCCCAACCACCACTTCATCCTCTTTGGAATTTACTTTTCATACAGAGATTCAGACAGACATAGATCCACAATCCTCCCCTGGAGCCAAAGTGTTCAAGCCTCCCTTCTCTGCTGTACAACCATGCCTCAAACCTGTTTCAGAACAGCTTCATCAGGGAAATAGAAGGTAATGAATTTTCTAACCCAATTCATTCCTCCATATAGGCTGGAAGTGCCTGCAAGCTTAATATTTGTGATGATGGGTTTATGAGGGAGACCCCTGTCCAAGTTAGAGGCCCAGCAATCATAGCACATGAAAGATGGAGGCATCGGATGGACTTGGGCTGATTCAAACCAGCAACTTAGCTTTTTTCATGCTTATTCTGTATGTTGAAAGCTCATGTTTTACTTGCATTGGTAAGTCTAAAGCTAACTGCACTAGACTAAAACAACAGAGCTGCTTGTCTTTTAAGCTCTCCCAACACTTAGCTGATTTGCCCACCATCAAAGCCTCCCTGTGAATTAAATGAACCTTGCGTAAAAAAGGGCATCTTTATTCATATCACAAGAGTGTTGAGCAGCTTAATTAAGTTTGTAAAGCACCGAGAAGCTCAGGCAGAAAGCAGAATAAAATTGGAATGCACCTGTCAAAAATGCTGGACTACACCAGATAGTTTAGGTTACTGCATCCAACTTATTATTTCAAACAAGAAAAACTGCATATTAGCTCACACTTGAAAGCATCCCAGGTCTTTAAACTGACGTTATAACCTAAACGGCTTATATGCAATGCATCAAGCATGCATCTCTTCTACAGCATCACATGGAATCATAACACGTCAAATAAAATAGCAAAACAAATAGGTTAATGAGCAATTATGTGCAAGTAATCTACAAGTCATGCCCCAACCCAACCTAATAAAGCTAAACTTGTGTCCTGTCCCATCACACCTATGCATTGCATAACATATAGTAGTTAACGTCTGAAGGTTTAAGAATTTTCAGGGTATCGCACTGGTCCTCATGCTGTGTCATGATAATAAAGAAAACAAACAAAAAGAAAAAACAGGTGCAGCAGCTTATTCAGGGTATTCTGTTAGAATACAAAGCAATAAAAAGAGTAATTAATAGAGGAACACATAAAGACAGTCATCAGACAACTGAATTAGATTACAGTATGTAAAGTATCACACCCATTTTATATCCATTTCTCAAAATGTTTCATGCTATTTAGTACATATTTTTGAGAGGACTGAAGATTTTGAGGGGAAAGAAAACAGCTCTCACTACTAGTTAGCAGTTTAAATATTTTGTTTGACAGGTTAAGCAAAGTGATTTTGCCTGTTCCAGTTCAGACCCTAGTGGAGATAAACAAGTATTACAAAGCTCCTAAACTTCCATTTGGTGCTAGATGCTGTCCTCTTTCGAGAGGACTATGGCCAGGTTAACACCACATCAGCACATTTTAATTCCAGTTCACGAGCAATGACAGCAGATAATCCAAACCTTAAACTACAATGCTCCTGCTAGTGATACTGTGACTATCAGCTTGGAATATTAAAATATATTGTTCAAAAGTTGATAGCATAAATTGGCAGAATACCAGAGTATTACATTTTTTTTCCTTCGCTATTTTCCTTTTGGCATGACAGCTGCTCAAAATTAAGAGTTATTCTTCTGAGCATATGAATACCAGATATATATTTAAGTATTAGGAAAAAAATAAATGCCGATACATCCATTTTAACACAGCACTGGGGCGAGATGCCAGTTCTACCAGAATAACAATAACTATTCATGGTTACCATGATGAGCATTTATTTACCTTACTTCAGGTTTTATAACTCAGTTCCTTGAGTTATATAAAATACTCCTCCCTGAAAGTCATGCATCCCCAGAAATGAGAAGTGATCATGGGAAGATCCACCAGCTTCCTCTACTACTTAATGCATTTCACAAACCCTGCTCTCAGTTTTTTTTGCCTTTAGTAGAGTTTAAGTTAACTAAAACCCCAAAACCCTAGCTGCAGCATAAACTTAGTTTGCAACCAAGTTCAAGGAAAAACACAAGTCGCTCACAATGTACAGTGACTTGCTGAAAATAACCTGTCATATATTATTTTCCTCTTCAGGAGAGCAAAAATGGCCTTACCTTGCCTGTCTTGTGGTCAAACCAGACAAGTGCATGGTTCCTGGACAGCACCTTGCAGTCAAAAGTAGCATTATTCTGAGCTGGCCGACAGCGGGCCACTGAGCGGCCAATTTTGACGGGCTCGTCCAGGTAGACATGGCGCTCCTGAAACGGGTGAGAGTTCGGGCGGCAAGCGAAGATGGCCAAGGCTGAAGGCATCGAGGACAGATTGCGGTTGTCACAACAACCAGGGAGGAAGATAATCTCTTCTGATGCAGGCTACCCTCCACAATTGTTAACCCAAATCTCCAGAAACTTTACATGAACGCAAGACAAACATCACTTGCACCCAGCGAGGCCTAACAACGCACGGTTTCAGTGTGTAAACTAATCCTGGCAATAATCCAGTGAAAAAGCCCCATCATGTCCACGAAGAAGATCAGCAGTGCCTCAAGCGACGCCCAGAAGACGCAGCTTTCAATCCATCCTCTTCGGAGCAGACAGGAACAACCATGGGGCTCCTCCGAAGAGGAGCGCGCTCCTTTGAACGAAGCAAGGGAGATCTTTAAAGCCAAGCTGATGAGTCACACGCCAAGACTTCTGTTTGGGATGGATGCAGGCTACCTCCCCCTCGATTTTTCCCCCACCCCCTTCCGTAAACAAGGCTGACTGGACACCCACAACGTGGGAGCGAGGAAAGGCGTGAAGGAGGAGCCGGGGAAGGGCACGGCGCAGCGTCCAGGCACACGGCGAACGAAGCCTTCAAGGGGCAGGTGGCTTAGCTGGTCCCCGCGACCCACCGCATCCCGCCGCCCTCATCCCTGGAAAGGAGCCAGTGGTCCAAGATTGGGGGGGGCGACACGGCTGCTCCTGCCCGGGCCGGGGGCCGGCGGGGGGCGCGGAGCGAGGCC